TTAAGCAGATATTTCTAAAGTGGGTTCTTAGCTGGTCATGGACAAGAATAGGTATTGTATTTTTTAATTTTATTTATGACTTGTATAGATTTTAATGCAAACAACATAGTTTAATGGACACAAGTTAGTTTAAATTTTTTGGTTTGTTTTACTAACCTCCTCCTTCTCTATCTTGAGGGGCCACAATCACAATCAATGTGTTGATCATTCTGTCTCCTATTTATGTAGATGGGGTTTGGGATTGTTCTGTTCCTGGCATTGAAGAGGAAATAATATTTCACTATTGGCTAGGGCTACTCAGCGAGGGTATCGGGAACTAGAGGTTGGAAGGCAGGAGGCAATAGACACATTTGTGTCAAGTGTTGTCGCATGACTTCCTTTTGGAAACTTATTCCAGTCCCTGATTGTCTGTGGCAGGAATGAGCAGTTTCTGTCCTGGTACTATGTTCTTGACATATTCAAATTTAATTTCTTTTAAATGTATTTCTGCTGTGAGCTCCAATTTTTTATTTTAATTCTTTTGAGTTTTTTAAGAAATGAGTTTAAAAAAATGTTTAATTTTATTCAGTAACATTAAAATTGAAAAAAAAAATATTGCATGTTTAACTCTTTTCATTCCTCTTATATAGAGAACATACAACTATATACGTTGGTTATTTTCGCTAATAAAATATTGTCTTTTTTATTTTTTAAGTGTTCTATGCCTATTTTATCATACATTTGGAAGAAAAATATATAAAAAAATAACATTTAAAGATTTTAAATAATAATTGATGTTTTTTTTTTTTGCGAGTTCAAGGTTCACGTTGATATGCCGAAGCGTTACTTGCCATTTTGGGAAAATTTGTGCAAGGCGCTAGTCGACTCCGCAGCCCAAAATTTTAAATAATGAATACTACTGACGAAAATGTTGATCAAATTTTATCTGAAACATCTGGGGAAGATAATTGGGAACCTGAATCTAGTGACTTTGATTCAGATTTTGATGAGAATCAGCCTTTATAGCTCATTATAGTCACTAAAACTAGAAGGTTAGTAATCAAGTCAATCAAGTGTTTCGTCATTCTATATTTTTTATAGATTTTTTACTTTTATTTTTATTTTATCGGTTTAAATTGTATTTTTAATCATAATTGAAATATTAACTACCCATTTTAAAATGAATCTATGCAAATAAAATCATTGTATAATTTGCGAATATTTTATTACATAAATAATTTTAGAAGACGTTATGCTTAGAAACTGTTGCTAAGGAATGTAAACAATGCAGTCGGCACTGTTTATTATGATATATTTCATCCTAAAGACCATGAAATTTGACATCGATGTGTGTTATAAAAAATTAATTATCTGACACTAATTTATTTTGTTATAATGGTTTTCAGACAGTATTTGAAGTATTAAAAACTGGAAATTTAAGCAAGTAAATATTTTATATTCATTGCATCCCTAATAGTTGCATCATATAGGTCTATAATATTAGTTCTTCTTTTACATTCACAGGCTAGGCTTGTATGAGGTTCGAGATGATGACCCACTGGTTCCCACTCCTAAGTTTCCCCCAGCCAGAAAGCCAGGCTGACTTGTGTGGGAAGAAATGTCATCAAAACATGGCTACAATCTGCACCCTAAAGTCTAAGGATTTTCAAGATATGTTTCACACTGAATTTGGTTGAAACATTTGTAAAATACACCTATTCAACTACCATGGGACCTTCAAAACCTTCCATCAACTGTGATTTGTTGATAACTCAACAACATACCACTTTTACACATTTCTAGGACTACTAATGTGCATGTCAACTGTACAAGTCCTCAGTGTACAAAAATACTCGTCAACCGCAACGTTTCATTACTACCATGAATTGTGGGCCTCGTGCAGAGATACTGATCTTCCATCGAGCGCCTCCCCAGGTATCTAACCAGATATGGAGGGTACCAGGGAAATAAAATACCTGGGGCGGACCAAAATCAGAACCTACTGCCCTGTAGGAAGTGGAGGGATCCACAGAACCTACTGCCTTGTAGGAAGTGGAGGGATCCACAAAGGCTAGGGAACCTTACCCAAAAACTAAGGCAGCTCTCCAGAGAGCTGTAAGGGGCAACCCCCCAGACCGCTGTACGCAGGGTTAACAACCCGGCCACGTAAAAAAAACAACGTTACGAAAGCCAATCAACAGAACAAAACCCGGACTGATGCCAATGGAAATCGACCTATGCATGGATATGGACATGATTGTTGGATTGCAACTTGGAATGTACTAAGCCTGTTTAGAGCAGGAGCCTTAGCCAACCTTGTAAATCAGCTGGTAAAATATAAAATATCTATTGCTGCATTGCAAGAAATTAGATGGAAAAATTCAGACATCCTCAAGACAAAAGAATACACCATATTTTATAGTGGTAGCAACACCAACACACTAGGAACAGGATTTGCAGTGAAAAAAGAAGCGATCAGTGCAGTCATAGGCTTCAAACCAGAGAACGAAAGATTGTGTTCTTTGCGTGTGCGAGGAAAAATGTTCAATATAACATTGATAAATGTACATGCTCCAACGGAAGACACGGAAGATCAGGATAAAGAATCCTTCTATGAAACACTGGAAAAGATCTACGAAGAGGCACCACGACATGATATTAAAATAGTGATTGGAGACTTCAATGCCAAAATAGGAAAATAAAAAGTTGTTCATGGCAACTATTGGCAAGGAAAGTCAGCACTAAGAATCCAATGACAATGGGATCCGACTCATAGACTTCGCACTAGGAAAAGGGATGTCAGTTAGCAGCACCAAGTTTCTGCACAAAAATATACATAAAGCTACGTGGAACTCACCAGATGGAATCACCCGTAATCAAATTGATCACGTTTTAATAGATCGAAGACATGGATCATATATAATAGATGTGGTAAGCCTTAGAGGAGCAGATGCGGACTCTGACCATCTACTTGTAAGGGTGAAATATAAGCAGAGGATAAGCTTAGTTCACAATGGTCGTAATCAAAGAGAGAAACGATACGATTACCAAAAGCTGCCCAAAGACCCATTAACTGCAAAAGCTTACCGGAATGAAGTAGAAGCACAATTAGAAGCATCACACGAGGAAATAAGCGGGGGAAAACAACATGATCAGTGGGATAGGATAAAAAATGCCATTATAAGATCAGCAGAAAAAGTAGTGGGATTTCAGCAATCCAACAATAGAGTAGGCTGGTACGACAATGAATGCAGAGAGACTGTGGAAGAAAGAAACAAAGCACGAATGATCATGTTACAAAGGGAAACCAGAAAGACAACACAAACGTACAAGGAAGCCAGAAGGAAAGCAACAAAAATGTGTAGGAAGAAAAAGAGGGAATGGGAAAAGGTTAAACTAAAGGATATAGAAGATTTATCAAGAGAGGGAAATATAAGAGGAATGTACATAAAGATAAAAGATGAAAAGAATGGATACCAAACCAGACCGCAAATGTGGAGAGCCACGATGGAGAATTCATCACGGAAAATAGTAAAGTATTGGAGAGGTGGGCTGAATATTTTGAGGACATAATGAATGCAGACAATAGACAAGAAGAAGATTATCCACCCCCACCCCCACAGGGAGGACCAGACCCTTTTATACAATGCCCAACCCTAGGAGAAACCAAAGAGGTAATTAATTACATGAAAAATCACAAAGCCCCCGGACAAGACCTTATCACAGCTGAACTGATCAAATATCGAGGAAAAGAACTACACAATCAGATACATAAACTTATAACTAAAATTTGGCAAGAGGAGAAAATTCGACAGAATGGGAAACAGCATTAATAACCCCAATACACAAGAAAGGCTCCAAACTTCAGTGCACAAACTACAGAGGAATCTCCCTAATAAATGTTACCTACAAAATACTGACGAAACTTATTGCCAAAAGACTACAACCTTACATTGAAGAAATACTAGGTGATTACCAATGTGGATTCAGGCCTAACAGATCAACGACTGATCAGATTTTCACCATCAGATGCCTCTTAGAGAAATGCTATGAATTTAATATACCAGTACATCAACTCTATGTAGACTATAAAATGGCCTATGACAGCATCAAAAGAAACTATTTATGAGACTCTGCAGGAGTTTGGGATACCCAACAAACTGACAAGACTAATACATCAAAATCAAGATTCAAGGAGAATATTCAAGGGAATTTCATATTAGATGAGGTTTAAGACAGGGAGACTAACTGTCTTGTATGCTCTTTAACCTAACATTGGAGAGAGTTATTAGAAACATACACATTGACACTCGAGGAACGATAACAGGATACTTTCTGAGGGAAACTCAAGACCCACAACCAACGGGCACACTCTACAACCAACCACTTCAGTATCTTGAATATGCTGATGACATAGCACTTCTAGGGAAAAGTATAAAAGACATATCAAAATCCTTTATTGAATTAGAAGACGCATCTTTACAAGCAGGGCTGGAAGTTAAAAACCAAAAAACAAAATACATGAAGGGATGATTGATTCCCACTAACTTATTGGTGTTTTCCCCACTCAGACACCCTGACAAACAGGACCCTGCCGAGTCTTCTCTCCTGGAACTTACCGGTCGCACGAGCGCGTGCGCCGCCCAGAACCAGATGATCACGCCCTCGACGGCCTCTCAGCCCGACACGTCTCCGACATTCGGGCCCACTGGCGTCTTCCGCATCCGGCGGGCCTCTCGTGCCTCGATCCTCTCATCCGTCCGAACCATCATGTCCGTGACCTGGGGGGACACTGGGGAACGTCCGGGGACGGGGGAGGGGCGGGTGACCCTGGAAAGGTGGACGATACGAAAGGAAAAGGAACCGCGCCCGGTTTCCCGGGGGAGGGGCTGGGGTTTGACATGGGCGTCCTCAACCCCGACAGCTTGCAGCCGCCTTTCTTCGGCCACATCATCACGTCGTCCACCATCATCCCGGTCGGGGTCACGACCCTTCACTTCCATGGCAACCGCTGGCACGAGACGCCCAACTCCCACAATGACACCAAGTGGGTCACGTGCGGGAACTTCTCGTCCCCGAAAAACTACTCGCGGGTCATGTGCACGCCGCAGCCGAACGCGTTCAATCCCTGCGAGGACCTGATGGGATACGAGTGGCTGCGGGTGTTCGTCTGGTTCGTCTGGTTCGTCCTCCTCGCCGCGTTGGGCGGCAACCTCATCGTCATCATCGTCCTTCTCACGGCCAGGAGCAAGCCGACCGTGCCCAAGTTCCTCATGTGCAAGCTCTCGTTCGCTGATTTCCTGATGGGGCTCTACCTCCTCCTCATCGCCTCGGTGGACGTTCACTTCCTGGGAGAGTACTTCACCCACGCCGTCTCCTGGCAGAACGACGGCGGGTGCCAGGTGGCCGGTTTCCTCACCGTGTTCGCCAGCGAGCTGAGCGTCTTCGTTCTGACGGTCATCACCATGGAGCGGTGGTACGCCATCAGCCAGGCCATCCACGTCAATAAACGTCTGCGCATGCGCCAGGCCACGGGACTCATGTTCTTCGGCTGGATCTACGCGTCCTCGATGGCGCTGCTTCCGCTTTTCGGCGTCAGCGGCTACGGCGCCGTCAGCATCTGCCTGCCGAAGGAAGCGAGGGATGTCTGGGACATCGTCTACATCATGTCTACTTATCTTCAACGACTTTGCATTCATGGTGATATCCGGCTGCTACATCAGTATGTTCCTCAAGGTCAGAGCCAGTGAGAATATGGCCAGGAGCAACGACGCCACCATCGCCAAACGCATGGCCATACTCGTTCTCACCAATTTCATCTGCTGGGCCCCCATCGCGTTTTTCGGCCTGACAGCCTCGTTCGGGCACCCGTTGATCGACATCACGAACTCTAAAATCCTCCTCGTGTTCTTCTATCCGTTCAACTCTTGTGCCAACCCGTTTCTGTACGCCATTCTCACCAAACAGTTCCGCAAGGACTTCTTCATCCTCCTCGGCCGGTACGGCTTCTGTACGGACAGGGCCAACAAGTACAAAGGTACCTCCATGACGCGGTTGTACTCCAACTCGCGGCAGAACGGCCTGCAGCTCAATGTCACCCACAACAACCCCACCGACATCAGCATTCTCAGCCAGTACAGGAAGGGGTCCAGGGGGTCGTTTTCTCAAAACGGAACTCTGCCCCACGGCAGCAGGGGCAGTTTCCCTAAAGTGACTCCCCAGTCCACGCCCCAGGAGACCCCGACCACCTCACCGAAAGCGGTCAACTCCCCTTGTAAAGACGGGCTGGCCAGGACGTTTTTCTTCTCCACGTCCCTCGACTCCAACAAGGCATCCAAGAACGAGAGGAAGCTGAGCACCGTCATTGAGACCAGCCACACGTCAGATGGTCCTTCTGACGACGGCGGGGCCTGCTCCTTGGTCACCTACTCCAACGACCGTGTCCTGGAGACGCGCGACAGCCTGCGCGATCTGTTCGACGGCAACCCCCACGGGCGACTCCGCAGCGCCAGCGAGTACGTGGTCATCTTCAAGGCGTCGCCCCCAGGCCCCCATCAGCAGGCCAACGACAGGGGTCAGGGCTTGATGCGCGGCGAGAAGTTCGAGCGCCAGACCAGCCGGGATACGATGCTGAGCAACAACACGCTCAGCTCGTTTCTCAGCGATGGGTCGTCGTCGCGCTTCGATAGCGACGTGCGGCTCATGGCGCGCCGCCAGTCCCCGGCCAGCTTCATCACCATGTCCAGCATGGACAAGCGGGACAGCGGGATCAGCGACATGTTCCCGGGAAACGGCCACAACATGGGCCGCAATCGGAGGTCCCTGGACTCGCCCCTCACCGAGACGGAATCGCTCCTGAACAAACCAAACGCCCTGTCGGGCAACAAGCGAAACGGTACCTTCGAGAACAGCGAGAGCAAGAGCAGGTTCTCGATGATGAACAGCAGGCTGTCCACGGACTCGATAGACGAGGAGGAGGCCGACGGCCACGAGAGTCGGTACCGGAGGACGAACAGGGGGGCCTCGAACGTGACGCAGTGCTCACATCTCGATGACGCGAGTGCGTACAGCACGGACGGCGATGACGTAGACGACGAGGTCAAAGTTCGCCAGTCTCTGCTGACAAATAAACACTAGTGGTGTGTTATAAACCTTATAAATATTCGACACACTAATATCATAAGTTGTCACACTAATATCATAAGTTGTCACACTAATATCATAAGTTGTCACACTAATATCATAAGTTGTCACACTAATATCATAAGTTGTCACACTAATATCATAAGTTGTCACACTAATATCATAAGACATCACACTAATATCATAAGACATCACACTAATATCATAAGACTTCACACTAATATCATAAGACGTCACACTAATATCATAAGACATCACACTAATATCATTAGACATGATACTGATATCATAAGACATCACACTGATATCATAAATCATCACACTAATATCATAAGACTTCACACTAATTTCATAAGACATCACACTAATATCATAAGACATCACACTAATATCGTAAGACATCACACTAATATCGTAAGGCATCACACTACATGTCATATCATAAGACTTCCGGCTCACTGACTGGCTTCAAAATTATTTTTTTTAAAATTATAAATTTAAAATTCTTTGGACGGATAATTAACCCACTTCCCGCCATCCCATGGAACTGAACTTTGACACATAGATTCGTTGCCGTTAACAACACATTCAATCAAACAACAAACAATACTCTGCCATGTAAACACCATTTCTTAGTAACGCTCATCCACAACTTTCAAAGAATACAGCAACAACAAAACCTTCACATTCTGGAGGTCACGTGGTGTGAGTAGAAGCCATGGAACTAAATAGTCAATCATAATTTCAACTTTTTGAAAAGTGATCATTTCAGATCAAAATCCAAACTCTTACGCTGCAGAATTGAATCTATACATAAGAGAGATAACTGTGGATAAATACAGAATGTTCTTTAAAACTACTTCAGTTTGCCTCCCATGACACCCTCCCCCCTCCCGTCACACAATTCCTTTTTATTGTAATTTTGTGGATTTGAAATGATCAGCCCGTCCCAAAGCAGGGCAGTAGATTTTATGCTCTAGTCCAGTGGTTCCCAAACTTTTAAGTTTGGCGGACCGGTGAACAAGTTTCGAAATTTCACCAGGGACCGGTGCATGATTTATTTTCATACTTTAATTCCTATTTGAAAATAAATACTTGTGTTATGGAGACCGGCAGCGTTAGGCATGCGGACCGGTGAAGGTCCACGGACCGACATTTGGGGACCACTGCTCTAGTCAACTTGATAACCTGGCCGTACAGAGATCACGAGATGGAAGAAGAGAGATTTGGTAACACAAAGAAATAGATCTCCACTACATTTAAAGGCCGCTTAAAAAAAGGCCATGCAGGCCATTATGTAAATATCCTATGTCCTATTCGTATATAGCAGGGGTTCTAAATCTTTTATGTTACATGGACCATTTCGCCATTCAGATGCAGCACACGGGCCCCATGAAATTTTTTCCAAACCCCTGTGTCCCATGGTCGAGAATCCCTGTTCTGAAGGTTGTTCCAACTTTCTGTTTCCAGAAATACTAATCCAATCCAATCCAATCCTGGAAAATGGCGGTAAATGTTCTAACGTATTTTTACTCTTACAACTATTGTTCATTGTGATGGTCAAGAAGAGGTGCGAACCTCTGTAGAGAGCCTGGTTTGAGAGCCTGGGTTGAGAGCCTGGGTTGAGAGCCTGGGCTGAGATTATTGATTTGATGTTTTCTTTTTGGATGTTGATGTTTCTGCCTTTTGTACAGCCTTCATGGTTTGTTTGTTAATGCTATTTTGAACTTTGACCTTTCGGACGTGTCATCCGTGATATGAACACTAGTATCACAGTAATCTAACTGTAAATGGCATACACTTGTACAATGTACATTCTAGCTAACTGTCAATACCCTTTATCTATTGGTACCCCATTTCTGATCTATTTGTACCCCATTTCTGATCAATTTTTATCTTATTTCTAATTTATTTATAAATCTCTGATCTATTTGTACCCCATCCCATTTATTATCTATTTGTACCATATTTCTGATCTATTTGTACCCCATTTCTGATCAATTTGTAAATATATGATATATATGTACCATTTGTCTGAATATGTGTACCACAATTATGATGTATCTGTACATCTCTGATCTATTTGTACCACAGTTCTGATCTATTTATACCACTTTTCTGATCTATTTGTAAATCTCTGATCCATTTGTACAATATTTCTGATGTATTTGCACTACACATCAGATCTATTTAAATTTATGCCACTAATCAGATCCATTTACACCACACATCAGATCTATGTGTACCATACATCAGATCTACATCTTACTGGCATTACTGTAATTGCAGTTCTATTTTTACCGTAATACAAATGTGACACTTTTAACCAAACATAAATTACCGGTGACTAGTAATTGTATATTTATAAGTTTAAGATTCTGTAACTGGAAAATCAAAGTATATTTTGCGTGTTAAAACTCAGCCTGATTACATCCCTACTTGTTAGAAAAATATTCAATCTAAAAACTAAAAATGGAACACATGCGATACCAGCCAAGTCAGTTTGTACATTGACACTGGCGATACCAGCCAAGTTAGTGTGTACATTGACACTAGCGATACCAGCCAAGTCAGTTTGTATATTGACACTAGCGATACCAGCCAAGCCAGTGTGTACATTGACACTAGCGATACCAGCCAAGTCAGTTTGTACATTGACACTGGCGATACCACCCAAGCCAGTGTGTACATTGACACTGCGATATCAGCCAAGTCAGTTTGTACATTGACACTAGCGATACCAGCCAAGTCAGTTTGTACATTGAAATACATTTTTTAAATGTGTATTTTCCGTTAAATTCTGTCTCAATGATAAACTTAGCCGTATGCCTCATGTTACTAAGTGTGTGTTTTAAGGTGAAAGGTTCTCACTGGTAGTTGCTCATAGCGTGTTAATGGTTCGTGAATAGTAGAAATGGAGCAATAATCTTACAGGCCATTGAGAGGGGCGGGCTGTGGGGGAAGTCGTTATACAAGCTGCGCATAAGGCCAAAAGAAAGTATAACTTCACTTCCTTTGTTTGTTTTAAAAACTCGGGGGTCGCTGCCCCTGTTTTCACCCTCAGCAGAACGCCTCTGAAGTGCTAGAAAATAAATTGCTCACCTGCACTGTTCGCTTGTATTCATTTTCCGAAAGAATATTTTTTTGTAGCAACATAGTCATATAAACAACAAACATAGTCAAACAAACAACAAACATGTCAAACCACCAACAAACATAGTCAAACAAACAGCAAACATAGTCAATCAAACAGCAAACATAGTCAAACAAACAGCAAACATGGTCAAACAAACAGCAAACATAGTGAAACAAACAGCAAACATAGTCAAACAAACAGCAAACATAGTGAAACAAACAGCAAACATAGTCAAACAAACAACAAACATAGTCAAACAAACAACAAACATAGTGAAACAAACAGCAAACATAGTCAAACAAACAGCCAACATTGTCAAACAAACAACAAACATAGTGAAACAAACAACAAACATAGTCAAACAAACAACAAACATAGTCAAACACAACCAAAAAAGAAATTGCGTAACAGTGGCGGTATGCGAACTTTTGTTTCCACCAAAATTAACTTGAGAATCTGCCAAGTGTTTATTCGGTCATTTGGGCGTCTTTTAGGCCTCTATTCCGCCACATATGATGATATGTAAGGTCTCTCTCTATCTATCTCTCTCTCTCTCTCTCTCTCTCTCTCTCTCTCTCTCTCTGTTCGGCCATATACTAATCTATAAGGTCTCTATTTAGATACTTGGACGTATGTGAGACTTTTATTCGGTCACATGAGCATGTGTCTCTTCGGTCTTATGAGCATCAGTGATGTCTTTCTTCGACCATCAAATCATATTCAAGGTTTGATAGTTCGTAGTAAATTTTAATATTGTTTATTAGCTTAATTCGAAAATACTCAAATAATGAAAACAGCCGCCATTGTCCATTAGGTTCAACCACCCAGGCCTTCAAAACTGCACTCAAAACACATCTTTTTC